CTTCTCCACGTTCTCGTCCACCATAGCCAGAAAATCGTAGCCCTGTTTGCGAAAGATATTGAGTACTCGTGTGGCCCTGACCCACTAAGCCGCAATCGGTATTAACTCTTGAGCTTTTTCCTTACGGGAGAGAGATTCTTTCACCTTTGCGACCAGACCAGCATAATGATTATTCACCACGACGGTCGCACGCTTGGCCACTTCTTGAACAAAAGCAAGTTGCTCTTCTTGGAAGGCCTTCTGCTCGGCCTCCAGCTTCCTCTGTTAGTCAGACCTCTCCTTCTTTATCTGTATTACAGCTCGATTGAGCAGTTTGCTTTTCTCCACGTCCTCAGCATGGACCTTTGCCAGATCCTCGGCAGATCTTTGAAGCGCGGCCTCCAGCTCTGCACTCCTTTTCTGTTCGGCCTTGAGAGCTTCCTTGACTCTCTCCCTCTCGGCCTGATCGACCAGACACTTCTTTGCATCCCGGTCGTAATCATGCATCACGGTCAATGCTGTGCTCAAGGCCTGCATACACTAAGCATTAGCATTAGAGATCATTCTAACACATGAAGGAATTACGAAGGAGCGTTCGAAGTATTTTTTACCTTGGCCTGGTCGTGCGCAAAGCGCGTGATCGCATCACTGTGAATAAAGCTGCGAGGATCTGTCGAGGACCTGCTGGATTATCCCTCAATCGAAGGAAGTAGTCCAAGCAAGACACTGAGTCATGTGTCAGTGGACTATCTCCCCGATACTCTTACGAGAACCCAAACGGACGGAGTTCTCTTTCGGTTCGGGAACTTTTCGATTTCCATGGCTCCTCGGGAAGTTCTTCCGAACCCCGCTTCCTCAGGTTGGCAGGGCTTCCTTCCCTGCTACCGTCTCCATCCTCAATTTTGCAACCTTGAGCGTCGTCGCTCCTCTGTCCTTCTTGCTCAGCCTTCCTCCGAGCTTTTTCTACCCTTTTGGCGGCCTTCTTGTCGGCCGTTTTCTTGGCCTTGACCATGTCCCTCTCAGCCTTCTTTTGGGCCGTTTTCTCGGCGGACTCATTCCTGGTGCAGTCTTTAGTTGCGGGATTTTTTGGTTCCGGGGTGTTGGGAGACCCAAAGGCGGACTCCAGGTCGGCTGACAAGTCCTTGAAAGAGAGAGACTTCATCTTTTCTGGTCAGCGAGAACGACGTTCAAGGACAGCTGAAAATCAAAAGATGATCAGTCTACGCGGAAAAGATAGTATCCGACTATCGAATGTGAATTAAACCAACCTCTTGTTCGGGTGATTTTCTCTTTCGTTATCTTGGGCCACGTAATCGCGCTGATCGCTGAGTACCTCTCTGAGATGTTGTAGATATCGATTGGATCGTCAACTAATAGAAGAGGCCTGTTACCTGCAGAATAAACCAAAATAGTTAAGTAAATCAGACACACGGAAACATTCAAAGCTAATTTTTAGGTCGGACATATTCTCTACCCATGACCTCTGCCCATTTCATATGAATTGGGATATCTTGATCAACAACGGAGGATTCGTTGATCAGTACGAAGAAGTAGTGATCTCTTCAGTCTGCCACTTTCGCCTTCTGACCGCCAGTCACGATATTAAAACGAGTCTTCATGCTCGTGTAGTACGATCCACGATTTCTCAGTTTCGCCTTGGTACGTCTGGTGTTCGTCATCACATCAAAGGCGGCCCAGGTTAAGGGGATGTCGTGCTTTGTTGACATCACTAACATGCTGATGATCAAGCGGATCGTCGCATGGGTAAATTGGCAGATTGGCATTTCCTTCCGGTCGGCGAATTCTAGCAGCAGCATCGAGAGGGGAAACCACAGATGGAAGTCCCTAAAGAAGCATTCGTAGAGACATAGCCATCTTTTGGGGCATCCCATGGCCGCTCTGAAGGACTTGAGACCATAAGGATCACCTCAGGGCCGATGTCGCACTCCTCTTTTAATGTCACCAAGGACTCCATGGTCGAATTGGTCGGCATCACCCCCAATGCATTATCACAGGTCGGCTTGACCACCTCTCCCCCTTTCTCTTCTTGATCTTCTTCACTGGAGGATTCATGTCAATTATACCGAACTGGTTGACTTCATCTTCCGTGATGATAGCGTTCAGTTCATCCGAGATATCCATCTTGTTAGATCCGCCTCTCACATCGGCCTCATCCCGCAACTAGGGAACCTTAAATTCTAATCTGGAAGAAGTCTCACCAGATCTAGTACAAACCTGATCTGATCGGCGTGAAATCTATCAACCGCCGCCTGCTGATTCTTCGTCCTTACGCGCTCCTGGAATTCCCGTTCCAGTGCGGAGAGTTCACTTGCATCCAAGGACCGATCTGACCCTGATGATTGGACGATAACCTTCTTTCCTTTTGATCGGCTCCTTGCAGTCTGATCGTCTCTGTGCATATAACGAAACTCTTCTAGAGATACACCAATCTCATCGGCTCTCGCTTGAGCCGACCTGTTGTTTCCTGACCCAGGTCGGCCTTCTCTGATACTTAAACTTTTGTCCATCATAGATATGGGCGCCAACGGGTCCTTCAGGTTGATCGGATAAATCACACGGCAACGATCGAACGATATACGGCGGAGGTCTAACCGGAAAATTATAACAAAAGAAAATGAAGAGCAAAGAAGAGAGAGAAGAGAGCAAACCTGAATTTGACAGAGTTTCGCTAAAAATGCAGAAGTGAAAATTTCTTAGCCAAACCCCTCTTATTTATACAGAAGTCTGGATGGTTATAATAAATAGTGGTTTGTTTTTAGTTTTAAAATATGTGAGACTTTTTCGTGTAACTAGTTTATACTATTTTACAAGATAAAATAGTATTGGACAAAAGACAAAATAGTAAAGACATTATAGACTAACTTGTTAATCATATGAGATTTTTTCAGCGTAACAATTTTATACTATACTACCAGTTTTATTGACAAACTCCATGATTTCTCACTTAATTAATTCAAAATTTCCCCACTCAACCATTTTATGCGATGAAGGTTTAGATACGAGTTTTTGGGTGTCGTAATTAATGTCTTAAGTTTAGTTTAAAAAATTTTGGATTTATTTTGAAGATCTATAGGTTGATCACATATAAATATTATTCTATATGTATATTTGTGTAGTATAGATAGGCTTATCTCTCTTTTAGTTTGTATATAACAGAGTAATACTTACAACATAATATGTACTGATTTAGATTTAATTTTAAAATATATAGATTTATTTTTGAGTAATTGCAATAGATGGACCTAGATAATAAGTAAATTAAGTAGACAGCTCTGATAACTTTTCGATGCATCTGTTCATTTCAGAAAGACATATCTACCCCAACATAATCTCAACCCCACAGTTATTAGCTATTCAGAATCGACAGCAAAATCCGAATGAAGTTTATATTTGCTTTTCTCTTTTCACCTCTCTCCGCTATCACCAATTTTTTTATGTCTTCATCTTTCTCTGCCATTACCAGTTCTTTCAAGATCACTTTCTTATTATGTCTTTAATTTCTTTACGAATTTATGTATGTGTCTCTCTCTTATATAAATTTCGAAATTGGTAATGGTGATGGTGGTGGGTGGGTGGGAATAATGATAAAAGACGATGATGGTGGTGTTGTCGAAAGTGGCAATGGTGATGGTTATTGGTGGTAGTGGTGTTTTTATATGGGGGTGGTGGTCGATGGAGTCGCTAGTGGTTGCGATGGTGGTGGTGGTGGTGGTGGTGGTGGTGGTGGTCGATGATGGGATGGTGTTGGTGGTGGTGTTGGTGATGGTCGGTGGTGGCGAAAGTGTTGTCGGTAGTAGTGGTGATGGAGTCACCGGTGGTGGTGGTGGTGGTGGTGATCGATGATGGGATGGTGTTGGTGATGGTCGGTGGTGGTGTTTGTGATGGTCGGTGGTGGCGAAAGTATTGTCGGTAGTGATGGTGATGGAGTCACCGGTGGTGGTGGTGGTGGTGGTGATCGATGATGAGGTGGTGTTTGTGATAGTCAATGATGTGATGGTGATAGTCGGTGGCGTAAAAGATGGTGATATCAACTTTAACAGGATAGTTATATGCTCACAACGTTAGTATGATAATTTGTTGATATGATAACATTGTTAACATGATAATTTTGCATAACTTATACATTAACTTCTATTTTTCATGAAATAATTGCAACATTAACACAATAGTTATCATGTTAACTACTGTACAATGTGCTAATTGAGCATCATATTAATTAACATAGTTAACACAATTAACATGATAACTATTGTGTTAACGTGCTATTATTTCAATATGCTAATGGAGCATCATATTAGTTAGCATAGTTAATACAGTTATCACGATATCATATTAGTTAGCATGATAATTAAATTAGTATCTACCAAACCGCATCAAATAATTATAAGGACAAAATAGTCATAATTTCTATATATAATATGTATCAACCTAATTTTTAATTATTAGCTTTATTTTCCTAATTTTACTATTATTATTTACTAAATTTTCCTGTTATTTTTAGTTGTTGAATTAAAGTTTACTGTACATAATATCATATGAAACAAGAATCTCAAGTAATTTCAAAATTAAAATCTGATAAAATAGTAACGAGTTTTTATTTTCAACTTGAGATAGTTATATACTATTTTTTATCATACTATATAAAATGTTACTTCTATTTTGTTATATTTATATTGAACTGTGTTACTATTCAAATCATATTATATGCACAAAAATATATATTTTATTGTGGTAATGAAAGATTTAGGTAAATATTAGTATGAAATTAAGATAACAAATAAAATTGAATCGAATAATTATGTTAGTGAGCATAAGAAAACAATTTAATACACAACATTCATTCTCTCTCTTCTTCATAGGCCACGTGCAAACATTAGTAAAAAATAGATATTTTAGTCTAAAAAATATTGTCATGGTTACTACATTTATAAATGACTATTGTTATATTTTTTATTTTGTGTCCCAATATGGTTAGTTAGCTGGTTTATGGGTGGAGTCAGTCAGCGAAAGTCCTCGATTAATATCAACAAGATGTCGAAAAGACCCTATTTTAGAGTCATGGTAACAAAAACCACCCTTTAAATTTTCGAATTGCATAAAAAGTCAAAATTCCTGTAAAATCTCACTCATAAAAAAAAACTGTACGAACAACAACATAATTCCGTAGTCCAAAAGGTTTCGAAAACAACTCCTAAACGACATAACCGACAGCAATCGTTTTCCTTCCACATCTTAGCACAAATCTTCCTAAGCGATGCGAGAATGCTTCCATGCAAATGGGACCATGGTCAACCTGCAAAGAAAAGAATTTCAGCTTTTGTTAGACCATAAAAATGGTTGCAAGAAAACAAAATAGCAATTATAACCTGTATACGGCATATAGCATCATCATCATCATCCGTGGCATACATCACTCCTACTCCAGGGGGTATCATCTCGGTTATCTCACATTCCTCTACCATCGCATGGGTGTGAAGAACGGCTTTGTAGCCAGCGTAAAAAATAGTCTACATAGCAGCAAACAAATGAATAACGGTTTACACTAAAATATTGCTAAAAGGAAAGCTTTGACTTACATTTTGAGGCTGCTTCAGAAATTCTAGGTGGGCCAAAAACGTGTTTGGAGCACGAATAGGTTGTACTGCAAAAGAAGACAAAGTCATGTGTATTAAACAACAATTGGCGATGCAAATTATTGGAACATAACCTCTAATGAAGTCATACTCACCGAGGCTAGATAATACATAACCTGAAACAATGTCCTCATCTTCAATGCCTCTTAGATAAACTATGAGACTGTCACGTGGTCCTGATTGATCAACTATATCCCCATCGCAATACAGAGCAATGACTTCAACAGGTACCTGGTTTGGCATAAGGCTCAAGAAATCACCCTCCCGAATGCAGCCAGATTCCACATTACCCATGACAACAGTTTCCTCGTCTTTGTAATGTGAGAAAATAGGCATCCTACAAAAATAAAAACAATGCATAGAGATGTCATTGTCCACGAAAATGTTGAATTCACACAAGTGACAGGATTTTATGAATGCATTACCTGAATGGACCATTAGGATTCGCTAGCCGAACAAACTCAACAGAGTCAAGTGCTTCAAACAAGGTCGGGCCACGCCACCAAGGACAAACATCTTCATCCATGCCCTTGTCCATATTGATGCCAAGAAGACCAGATATCGGCAAAAAGGCATCTTACACCAAAAGAGTTAGAAGAGGATCGTAGTAAAATACCAATTAGAACAAGAGAAGGCGTTTATAGCATACTTATGGTTCCGCAGCGAAAGGATTCCAGAAACGGTAGCACTTCTTGTTTTATTTCATCGTACCTGAGCATGATCACATCAATATCAAGAAGATATGAAAATCATCGGTGATAGGGATTAAATGTAAAACAAGGTTTATGTAAATACCTGTCTTTCGACCACATGACGGTTGGATCATCCATCTTGTTCAAAACAACGATCAGGCTCGACACACCCAACCCTCTGGCGATTTGAACATGTTCACGTGTCTGCCCGACCATCTCCATCTACAGAGAGAGACATGGGTTGGGTTGGGCAGTTAATAGGCTGCTGCTACAATAAAGAATGAGAAACACATTAACATATTACTACTGACTAACCTCCCCACCCTCTTGAAATCCTGTTTCAAATTCATCTCTCCTAGCCGAAATCACCTACACAAAGAGACGTGGGAAGATCAGTGAATAGGTTCCCTACGCATGCAACATCAAAGAATCAGAAGTGCATCTGACTAACCAGCACAGCAACATCTGCTGAGATGCTCCTATAATCATTTCCGGTACAAAGTCCCTGTGCCCCTACAAGTACAATAAGTAAAGTATAAGAGAAGAATTAGAAGTAAACTCAATAGTAAGGTGGTTTATATTAATTTGATACTAACCGGAACATCCAGAATCGTAAAGGTACAACTACTAGTGTCAAACATTGCTTTTCCAACTTGAACCGTACCCTATCAAATGTATAAACATACCAAGTTAACAAACACAAGAAAATAACAAATGAATTAATCAAAACAGACAGAAGAGATACCCTGCGCCTCTCGTATTCATCTGTATCCATTGTATATGCCAAATAACTGCGCATACACAACAACAATAAGATAAGAGAAGCAAAAATTCAAAAAAAAGGACATTTCTAACTGCAAACAGAATACTCACCAGCCTTCTCTGCTATTTTCTTTTGCTTCTTCCTTGTACTTTTGCATTTCTTGATCATCTACTTGACCAGTAAGAAGAAGAATCTGTCCTACAATGGTAGATTTTCCAGCCTCTGTAATGGAAAATGAAAAACTTATAACCAGTATAGCTCTTATGCAACCTGAACACAAAGTTGTTATACCTGAGTGCCCCAGGAATACCACTTTCAAGTGTCTCCTCTTGTTTGCTTCAGCTTCCTCTTCGGCAGCATTTTCTACGTTCAGGCGTCTCCTTTTCCTCCTTTTCGTTTCAGCTTCCTCTTCGCTTCCCCTACCCCTCTTGACAATCTCCGATCCTGACATCTTCAGTGAAACAAGAGCCAAACACAGAGAATAAGACTGAATCTTAAACCTGCATTAATCAGAGAAAGAAAAGGAAAAAGAGTAATTAGATTATCATCAAAAACATGAACACGTTAAGAAAAATAAACATGCATGATCAGAAAGCTAGTGTATCTTGTAACACAAAAACAAACATCACATACTGTACCACAGATCATGTAACAGGAACATAGTCAGTTCTTAAAACCAACATCACATACGAGGAAATCAACAGAATACTGTTCTTGTATCAAACAAACATCGATTCTACGCCCTAGATCAAACAGATGATCCATATCACACAATATCCTAGTCATAACTTCTGAAACAATAACTGGAAATCGAAGCAAACACCGATCGAAGCACTAGATCAAACAGAGGATGCATATTACGAGAAAATCCACAGAATACTGTTCTTGTATCAAACAAACATCGATTCTACGCCCTAGATCAAACAGACGATCCATATTACACCATATCCTAGTCATAACTTCGGAAACAATAACTGGAAATCGAAGCAAACACCGATCGAAGCACTAGATCAAACAGACGATGCATATTACAATTACACAACTTAATCACAGTCTCTGCTACAAAAACTGGAAATTGCGTGCAATGCGTAGAAAATAGGGCGGAAATCACCAGAGAAGATGTCTGAAAGGACGCCAAATCCCTACCGATGAATGATTCGCAGACAGGATGAAGAACAAAGAACAAGATCCGATCGAGCGAGAGGAATGGAGGAAGATTGAGAGATTCTTACCGAAGATTGATTCGTAAGAAGATAAAAAACCGTGGATCAAGCAAAATCCAAACGAGACAGAGAGAGATTGAAGACGAACGACAGAGACTGTAGGGAGGTTTTGAGGAGGTTTTCTGTGAGTAGTGACATGTGAGCGAGGGCAGTTTCGACACTATACCAAAAGGGCATTTTCGTCTTCGAAAGCCTTTATCCAATTATGATTCTGTATAGAGCACCGCCTAAACGTATTTTTGTTAATTTATCATCTACTTTTCCATTAATCATCTGTAACTTATTTTTTTTAAATATCTACGTTTACAATCATTTAAGCATTTCGCATTCAAAAGTCAAAACTTTTTCGGGGAAAATTTGGATATTTTGTTCTTTTTTTGTCATTTTTCTCTTCTTCTAAAAATAAATATAGACTTCCGACATTTTAGTGTAAAAACACAAATAATAATATAAAACTAATTTTGCAAAATAGTTATTTTTTCAAATAAAATTCTTATTCATTGTTGAACGTCTTTCAGATAATGTGCAGTTAATTATGCTTAAAGAATTAGGATTTTCTCAAACTTTGAATTATAGCAAAATATAACGTGATCGCATAAAAATATATTTAATATATATAAGTTGAGTTTTGATAATTAAAAAGATGAAAAAGAGTTTTCTTTTATTTAGTTGATTAGGTCTAAAAGATTTTTCGATTTTCTTATTTTTGTTCTCTAGACGCAAAAAAAAAACTGTTTACTTTAATTCCTTTTTTTGGAGAATTAAGAGATAGAATAGCATATTAGCATGGATATATTCGTCAAATAGAGTATTTAAAAGAAAATAAACTACAGTTTGATCATTCGATTCATTTCGTTATTTCTTGATTTGAGAACCAAAAATCCCAACAATTGATAACAGAGTGACATGATTATGCAAAGATATTAAAAGAAAACAAAATACTAAAGGCGTTGTTAAAAACATATCTATCAACAATGAGTATTCTTACATAATCTCTAGGCAGTGTGTAATATATACACAGACAAGAATGAGATTTAGTCGATTGATTACAGAGTAGCTGCAGAGAAGAGCCCGTGTTGTAAATCGTGTTCTTTGTCTTGAGTTGAGGTAAACAGATCAATCATAAATTTAGTAACTCGTGGCTGTTGATTTTATGGTAAATCTAAGACGTTTATGGGTGGTTTTATCCAACCATTATCCCCAAAGAAGGAAGTTACATTGATGCAGTTTCTTAGTATACTGTGTACACTTACTCGTTGTCAAAACAGACGTGAAGCTCAAGTAAAAACCTCAAACTACCCAGCCTTTTCCTATATATCCGTCCACTTTCGCCTCCTCTCTATCCCCGATCTAGGCGACGGCGCCCCTTCTTTGCTGGAGGCCTTCTTTCTTTGCTTTTCTGCACTGTAACTTCCGTTTTGCCGTTCTGGCTCTTCCTGTAATAAGTTGTTCAACAACAACATTGTTCCCCCAAAAACAAAAAAGTATAAAAATTAACATTCATACCAAAAAAAATATGTCAGTTCTTTGAGGTCGTGTGGTTTTAAGACATTTAGGAGGCAATCGAGGAAGAAGATCCCAAGAATTTGTATAGAGATGAGAGATTTTCCAGTACTATTGAAAACGTATGACTATACACTATTAATTAGGATGAGAGACTTCACCTGCTTAGATGTTGTTTGCATCCTTTGGCTTCTTATCTTTACTTACACGGACTAAACGAGGTAAACGTAAAAATATTTCCTTTTAACCAAACAAAATTGCAACAATCAGTGTATCATCAGATAGATTCAAACCAAAAAATGGAAAATAAGTAAAACTTATCAGGGACCACAATCCCCACAGCTGCACGATACTTAGGGCTAATTTCCATTTCAGAACCTTTCACTTCCCAGAACTTTTAAGCAATTAGTGTAAACTTTAGCTTCACACTTTGATTTATAAGATAGAATAAGACATTTGTAAGGGAACATAATCCTTACCTCAGTGGACTCGAACCAAACATGTGGTTGACGCTAGCTATCGTTAACTCTGTAGTCTTGCTGGATAATTTTGGGTCATTACAATCAACAGGAACTCAGGCAAGAGTAGACATAGCTGATATTGCAGCAAAAGGAAAGAACGAAATATCATTCTTTTTCATTAGCAATCACCTTAGACGAAAAATTGGAATAAAGTTCTTTAAGCTCGGCTTCAGAAAATCCAGTACCTAGCTAGTAGAACAAAGAACATATAATAAAAAATCAAATGCATAAGAGTAACCGGTTTTAAAAATGCTCCAGAACTCGTCTTTTTTCTTGTCGTAGCAAGCAAGTAAATATGAAGCAGATAAACCTACAAAGGAAAAGGCATATAGATTTGTTGATAAATCATATCAAAGTGTCAAAATGAATTTTGAATGGTTTGTTTTCATTTGAACATTTTCCTTTGCCATGAAACGCACCAATAGGTATAAGATCCACAGAATCCCCAATGCTGCATATGTATATAACCCTAGAGTCAGTCAGTAAATTAAACTTTTCAAAGAACCCTAGAGTCAGTCAGTAAATTAAACTTTTATAACAATTGCTTCAAATAAAACCAAAGCTTTGTGGTTTAGTGATATATGTGTCTCACCTCTCGCCGGATATTCAGATTCTCCTTGGTAATTTGCTGCCCATTTAGATATAACTTGTCAAAAGCAAATATGCATACGCTACCTTGATATCTGAAAAATAAAACAAAAAAATATATAAAAACCCTAGACACTTTTAATATCAGGACCTCGCTAATGAGTTACATGGAAGGGAAAAAAATTATTTTCCGCCCTTTCGAAAGCAACAACTGTGCAATCAAGAATAAAAGATTTTATAGAGGTTTTCACAAGCTTTGTCTCTTTCTACTGCTTTTTTCAACAAGAAGTTACACTCAAAAGTCTGCCTTTAACGAACGAGCAACATCAGGGTACTTGACAGTATTTCTTTCACCATTTCTGTTACTACAAGCCACAGGTCTGAAAGTTCCTATAATCCAACAAGTGATACAGTAAGCAACAACAAACAACAACAAAACAAATTTCAGAAACTGGACTTGCTTATTGCATAAACCTTATTCAGAAGCTGTTCAACTTGTGAATCGTTTCTATTAAAAGCTTTGGAGATTGCCTTGACAATGGAACTCTTAACGATTCCTGATTCAATGGGATACAATAAGTATCCCTAAGTGTATTTTTAGCGAGAACATCTGCTGGTTTGTTTGATTGTCATCTAACCCATAGTATTGGACTTCTTGAAACTATTGCTGCCAAAATCGAGCCTCGCGGATCCAATTATGAATTCCAAAGTTGAATTTGTTTCCTTGCATGCATGATGTCTATTAACTCTTTGCAATTCCCTTTAAAGATCATCTTCTTATATCCTTTGCACCAACAACTTTGCATAGCCAAATAAGGGCTTGACATTCGCTCTCCAATGCATTCAAAACATGTTTCTCTTTCACGTTCTTGTAACCTCCTTCTTCATCCCTTATTATCCATCCTGCTTGAGATTCCAAAATATCCTCAAAATACGATCTGTCAAAATTACATTTCCACCATCCTGCTTGGGGTTGTAACCAATCTGTGTGCGAGTTATGTTTTGTATGCCGTACTTATACGGATCTGTTCCCATCTGTACTTGTAGACGAATTGCCTGCAAACTCCCATTCTGAAGCTTCAGTTCGTGAATACAACAAGTTCCTTGCCCAAGGTATAGATTGTCTCTGGAACGTTAGAATGTTTCTACTTTTCCAAATAAGCCATAGTATCATGTAGATTGTTATTTCCTGTCTAGATACATGAATAAATGAAAAAAATACTTAATAGCCCACTAATTTGATAAAACGATTGTAACTTAACCGGTTAATTATGGTTTATGAGCGTAAAAATGAAAAATTGGGAGACGCCCCCTAAGAAATAAACGCACAAATCAAAAACATTGCCATCACAAGTAGTCAAAAGTATAAAAAGGAAAGAAATCTTAGTAGTCAAAGGAAAAGAAGGGAAATGTATTTTACATTTGCATAAAATTTCAATCTTTGGATGAAGAGGTACCAAAAGAAAAGGAAAGAAATCTGACCTTTAGATTTCCCTTATCTTGAGAAATTCTCTGTCTCTTGATGAAGGCTCATATAAACTCTAAAAAACCTCACCCACCCGTAATCTATATTTTCGAGAGCCATAGATTTTTTTCAGTTTGTTAGTTTTTTGGTCGAGATTCAGGTTATGACAAAGGAAATCACGAACCAGATCGTAGAGGCAGCCACTCCTGCTGCGAGTGTCGTGGTCATGGACACCATGGATCAGATCGACGAAGCAACAAATGCTGCTGCTTGTGTTGTCGAGATGGAGACCATGGATCAGATCGGCGAAGCAACAAATGCTGCTGCTTGTGTTGTCAAGATGGAGACCATGGATCACATCAACGAAGCAAGCAATCATGGTCCTATGGTTGTGGTGGGGGAGAGTTCGAACCAATCCGAAGAAGCAATCACTCACGGTGCTATGGTTGTGGTGGGGGAGAGTCCGAGCCAATCCGGAGAAGCAAGCAATCATGGTGATATGGTTGTGGTGGGAGAGAGTTCGAACCAATCCGGAGAAGCAAGCGATCACGGTGCTATTGTTGTGGTGGAGGAGAGTTCGAACCAATCCGGAGAAGCAATCACTCACGGTGCTATGGTTGTGGTGGGGGAGAGTTCGAACCAATCCGGAGAAGCAAGCAATCACGGTGCTATGGTTGTGGTGGGGGAGAGTCCGAACCAGATCCGAGAAACAAATGGTGCTATTGTTCCTGTTGTTGCGGCAAGGATCGAAAATTATGGCACAATGAAAGCTTGTCACCAGGTTGGGAAATTTTATTTTTATCGTTCATTGTTTTTGGATACGGGATAATTACGTTGAAATTGATCTGAACTGTGTTTGCATTCATAGTTGTCTATATAGTATAAATTCTATAAATTAATACTCCATCCTTTTTTTAATACAAATAATACTTATTAAATTATTAAAAATCTAAAAATTAATAAATTCTTAGTTTCCTTGCTTATGTTTGTTTTAATTTTGAAATCATGATGAAAATGAATCTTAATCACATTACAAAAAAATTTGTTATCTACAAATTGATTATGTTGGGTGTATTTCTTGAATTAGTTTTTTATATTTGAGTAAACATTTTATGATACTATAGAGTTATTGGATCAATAGTCTTTTATATACGAAGTTACCAAGTGAGATTTTA